ATGTTTCCCTTTCGTTTCTTCGATTGTTTGTCTTTTTGAAATTTGTTAAAAATTTCTGAAAATAGTCAACGTAGTTCGTTGTGATCTCATTCAAATATTATCTGTCAATGAACATCTTCTCCTAATGAAATCATTTCAATACTCAAATTTATTTCATTAGAGAATAACAGAGAAATAAGAACGAATCATTAGTTGATACTATTCTTTAGATGACAATATTATTATCAATCGTAGTATTTATTTCAATCGAATAAAATCCTTTGAAGTGATTTTAGCGAAATTCCTTCGTTCATCGAACTCTGATAAAGAAATATTTTCATAGCAATGTTTGATTTGAATAATCTGATGTTCCAGATCATTCAAATTTGAATGTATATAAATATATGTCATATTTGATATGACAATTCAGTTGAGATTGGAATGCGCAACAAAAAAAAAGAATTCAATGTTTCCATCTATTTGACTAAATCTTTGATTCCAAACTCAACATGGAATATTTTCAATACTTTTTTTTCTTATAAAAGAATTCTCTTAATTTTGTCAACAATTTTCAAAATAAATATTACTTTTATAATTGTAAATTATTATTAGATTGATGCAAATAAATATAAAAGATTTCTCAAACATACATCCCAGGCCAACTAATCCTATGCTAAACTCGATCGGATTCGTCGAATTTCTGTAAGATCCGATTATGGGATTGATCGACTTGGGTGTCACTTGTTTTCCTCAATATCTTCAAAATCTTCATAGTCAATAATGTTACCACATCTCCTTCCTATTCTAAGTTGGAAAAAAAGTGATCGAACATGAGTATATGTTCAAATATGTAACACAAAATTTCACCTTCGATACTATTCTTTTTTTTTTAAGTTGTATTTAAATCGAGATGTTCAAGTAGTTCATCATAATCATGTCGAGACTTTTGTAAATCCCGTATTGCATCATGATATCATCATGGATATTTGTTTACATGTTGTACAANAACGAATCAAAATACACTTGGTTTCCTTGTCCAACGAAGAGACTCGATGAGTTGATGGAAGTGTTCCTCGTATCTGTGACATTGCCACTGTTGGCAGAGTCAAGAAGAAGAACTTGTCCTTGTTGTCCATTGGAGATAAAGATGGAGTTGTTTGTGGTGATGAAGAAATCAGAGATGGCTGATCCAATGATGGATTGATTGGCAACGATTGCTGCATTGGGATTCCATGAAGAGTTCAGAGAGATATTCGGTTGATTGAACGAAATACCTTTTGTTCAGAGAAGAAGAAGAAGGCAAGATGAAGGATGATGATGAAGTGCTTACCTTGAATATGTTCTATGGAGAGAGAGAGAGAATAACCAAACACAGCAGTTGTTTCATTGATTCTTTTTTTAAATGATGGAAAGAATGTTGTGAAGAAACACTTTCAAAACGATGTTCGACTTCTCTGTTGAGAAAAAGACCGATAAAATATTTGGAGTTTAATGACTATTTTGATGATTTTCAGTAAATCAGTGTTTTGAGTTGTGTTGAAACTTAATTTGAAGACAAAGATCTCATTTGGAGTTGTGTGAAGAAAAGAAATCATTGATATTCTCATTGAAAGACAATGTTCAAAGTGTCTTTTCATTTGTTTGAATTATAAACAGTAGAAGTGAAGTTGAAAGGAGAAAAAAATATCATTTCATTGAGAAGGAGGAAAGTGGAAGGAGTTTTGTGTTTAAAGGAAATCTTTTCATGTCTCAAATGGTTTTTATTTGAGATCTGTTCAATCTTTTCTGAGTGATTTCTTCTGTGAATAGTAATTAACCTTTGCAGGTGCATTTTCGGAGTTTTCTCGTTGTAACTTCTCTTTGAATGATGAACATCGATGAAAGAGTTCAATGAAGATATGAAATAGAAAAAAAAGTTCGATTTTTATTCCTCTTTTGTCAAATAAATAATGTGTAGTCTGTACATGAGAAATCTTATGTGTATTACTGTTATCCGTTTTCACGAGTACCCTAACTTTCTGTTTGTATTTTAGAATAGTCTAACTTACCTTCAATATGGTGAAAATGATATTCGTTACTCAAGACTCCAAGATTCTGAACGGCATAGTTCGGTTATCGAGTCAGTGTATTGTACGATCAAATTCACTTGAATTCCACAGCTGTCGAAAATGTATTCACTCATCTGAATCTCGTTACGCGTTGTGTAATGAGATGATTATCCAAGTGGATAACGAGACGTGGATCCTTTTGAGACTGACGGCATTTTAAAGTGTCATCGAGATTTCATGTGGTCTGAATTAGGTTTAGGGATTCGAGCCTTTTTCGTGTCTCTTCGTTCCAAATGTTGTTTTCAGCGCTTGTATTATGATCATTATTTGTTTTTTCTTGTTTTCATTTATACGTCATGAATTTTCTCCTTTTCTTTGTCATCTACTGCGCCCTATTGAAGGTCGGTGACGCATATGTTTGTTCAAAAATGACGAAGTACAGATTAATTCAATAGTGTACATTATTTGCTATTCACAGGATTATGTACAACGTCAAAGGTCTACTCTATTGAACTGTCTCTTTTGCAAAATATTTCAATTTTGGTGTAACTCAATCGAGAGATTTTGTTATATTTGATGCCTTGGAATTCTTTAGGAAAGAACTACTTGATCTTCAAATGGCTAAGCTTCGAATATCCAGTGAATCAAAATGATGACAGCCATGCTACAAGAAGTGTGAAACGTGCAAAATATGGTCAAAATTCCATACACAGACTCTCGAAGTTTCTTTCGATACATTTCGTATTTTATTCAGATAATGTTTAAGATCTGGTTTGACAGATTTCTCACATGTTCTTTGATTTGTATGTGATGCTCCTATAAAAAAATCTCGATTGAACTATCGCAAATTGATCAAATTTGATAAATATCTCTTCGTAACAGAGGACATTCTGGCAATACAAAATCTTTCGTTAAAAGAAGGTCATTCTTCCAAACATTTGCTCAGATGTCTAATAATAGACACGAGTGTTGAAATAGGATACTTTCGAAATAATTACATTACCTTATTATATAAATGCTTAATGTCGTACGTGTGCTTAATTTGCGTGAAGGATTAATAAGAGATCCGATGCTTTTCTTCTACGGAAAAGTATACTTACGAATTTAATTTTAGAAGCAATTAAAAAATATATATCTTCTAGAAGCGAGAAGAACATAGATTCCATTAAAAAAAGCTGTTGGTGGAGCTGCTAGTGTGTGACCATTTTGTGCGGTACAATGTTCCTGTAAATTCCATATAGTCTTTTAATTAGTTTTCAATGATTTTTGAGTGTCTTGTCGATTAAAGCACTCATTAGCTCAAACGTCAGTATGAATACAGACGATGAATACTTTTCACATGTCCTAAAGTGGATATTTTCAATAGAATAAGGATGAAAAATTACTTGATATAATTGTTGTGGACAAGCGAGACATTAATTTCACTTGATACGCTAATGAATATTTCAATACCGTGAATCAAGCAGAGATTTTAACTCCACAGAAACATCTTACAATTTAGCAAGTGATTTTTATCATAGTCCATATAGTAAATATTTACCTACTTCTTTTTGTATACGGAAATTGGAAGGTTTTCGTTACAAAATGCAGATGACCTGAAAACGATGTTGACTATATTTGAAGTAAGTTTTACTTCTCGATGAAGATCCTGAATAGAACGTGCGATTACAATTGATATCGTTGCGCTATAGATTCTCCGGCACTATTCTAGTCAAAAGTGTGAAACTTTTAGTTTATTTTTTGTTCGGTCTGGTCAGTTACATGTAGTACTATACAAATGTAATGGTCCTCATGCAATGGTCATCCCTCTCTCTCTATCTGTGTATTATCTTAACCTTGTTACAATGAACTAATTAGGTGACAAATTATCCGTCGCCAACTTGATTAGTTTTCCCATTCTTGGATATGGTATTCACTTATATATATATTTGTATCCGACTCAACAACTCCACCACGGAGATCGGAACCCACCGGTCTGCGTGCCGGTCGCAAGTCCGGACAAAGGAGGAGCGTTTGACGGAAGGGGTGCAGATACCGTCGTCAGTAAAAACAAAAAGACGAAAGAAACCAACCATGAACGACGATCATAGGAATCCATACCGGCTCGGACGTCGCCCGGGAAAACAAGGTCCGCGTCCTCTGCCGAGTGACCAGGGCAGAGTCGNACAGGCTGATCAAACACGTTCTATTTTCACAAATGGACGGAAAATCTCGAAGAGGACGGCCGTGCAGAGAGTGGCTCGATGACATAACGGAATGGTGTCAACGTAGTGGACATGACTTGTTTCACCTTGCGCAAGATAGACGGGCATGGAAAAATCTGATCCCGTAAATGGTTGGACCCAACGGGCGCCAAGCCTATGGGATATGATGATGATGATGATCCGACTCAACTGTCTCAACTATTTCATGGTGAATGTTAGGATTATGATGCAGATCGCGCATATCCTTGATAAATTATTAGCAATAAAGCTAATTTAAAACTTAGAAATGTAGTAATCTGTGATTTCTTTGAAGTTAAGTAACAGCGCAAAGATCCACCCTCGCAATTTCTACACATATACCGAGAAGCTCTATTGTCGTATGCCTTTAATTGGTATGCGTACACACGACACACTCTTTGAAAGTTTTGCTTTTTGTATGCCTGCATATTTGCTCATACATAAAGCGAAAAAATCTGCCGTAAAAACATTGTTAAGGTAAATCCAAGAACTTATTTTCTAATTATGAGGTCAATGCTATAAATAAGAATTCATGATCCCCCAAAGGGTTAATATTCTCTTCGCTCAGACGCTTCCTTTTCCTATAAATGCTTTGTATAAATGATGTATCACGACAACATTTTCGGTTTCTCGGATTCCAGCTTTATTGTATATATGTATTCTGCACCATGGTAGATACCATAACCATCTTGATCATTCTTCAAATAGCTTTTTTGATATTAGCTGTATGTTTAACTGCAATCTATTCAATTATAATTCTATCAAACCGTCGATTTTATCACCACAACAACGTATTTATAGTTAACGTATGCTGTACAATAATGGTAACTGCCATGTTCATGATCTATTATACCCTAGTGGCCTTCTTGAACATCCAATTTTTCACGAATTCTCAATTTTGCCTAATTATCTTCTTTGTACATATTATATCCAATATTCAAATTCCGTTTTCATTCATTGCATTTACGATACATAAGTTCTGTTCAATATTATATCATAATCGGCCTTTCTTTCAAACAAATAAATGGGTTAGAGTATGCATCCTGTGTCAATGGATGAGCGAGTTTCTTGTCTCACTGCCGTTTCTTCTGCGATCAGGACCAGTAAGTACTATAGAAGTGCACTATAGAGATTATTTGGAAAATGAATTACTTGAAACAAAAAGTTCTATGGAGCTATGATAGAATAAACATTGCACGAATTTGATATGAGAGAGGAGCATCTCGCTCTAATTAATATGAGCCCATAAGAATTTTATTTTTATTTTCGTAATGGTTCGCAAAAGATGAACTTGTGCGACCAATTAATACACTCATTTGATGTCTTTTACTTCATTTTGATCGTCTCCAGGCTGGTAAATTGATATGAATAAGAGTGTAAATGTAGAACATCTACCACCACTGGTACCCTTGCTCAAGTTAGTTGCGTAGATTGAAAAGATCAAAAGGAATTAAAAGTAGTAGTAGGAATAGAGAAAGCGAAATGTTTGACATATTATATGTAAAGTTACACATAGCTCAGATTTCTTTTTTATGGACTATTTGAGTTGATTCTCTGACATCTTTCTTTCTTTTAAATAGTACTGTGTCTACTCATCATGGATGATGATTTACTTATGTGCTTCGGTAATTGTTGTACCTTCATTTGTGAATGGTATTTTCAATATTGGCATCTTTATCTATGTTCGGTCACGTAGCCGTCGTGTTCAGATTGCACCCCATATTATTACAAACACGATTTTAAATAATAAACAACGGCAACAACAAAGATTATCATTGCTGAGTCGCCGTGAAATTTCTTTGCTACGACACATGATTTTTATGTTTATCATGATTATTGGTGGCTGGGGTCAAGGTTATTTTTTATTAGTCATCGGTCAATTTCTATATATTCCAAGAATTGTACACGAATGTGCAGCAATAGTGTGTGAATTAGCCGTCTTGACTTTGACTATAAATTTATTTATGTGTAATCATGATTTAAGACAACATTTATTTAATAAACTACGTGGTCGTGTCGCTCGTTAAAAAAAAGAAAGAATTTTTGTTGCACTGAGCAAATCGTTTGATACACTTTTTTTAATACAACATCGGTGTTATTCGATGACACTCGTAGATCGTCAATTTCTGAAATAATTCTTTCATCTTGTGTCATTATACTTTTCTCCGCTTATTTCTTTGATCGTCTATGTATGTGGTTTGTCTATCTTTACCTTTGTTTAGTGCTTTCTCCCCAATAAATCTCTCTGTAACAGTAATTGACATCATCATTCACTGAGGATGACGGGGAAGATAAGGGTAATTCCGTTAAGAAATGCTGCAATCCAAGGAATTGATTTCGCATCTTGAGGGTGAGGGTATGTGGTTATAAGTGAAACTAAATCTATTCCTATTCCTATCTAGTCGTTTACTGTAAGACTGATATAAACATCTACTTATATTCGAATAGATATTAGACTGTCCGGGGGCCGACTTATAATATAAGTCGAATTCGGCAACTCGTGAATAGAGTCCTGCACGGGTGCACTTTTTTGCACCCGAAACCGAACCGGCTCCTTTTACAGTTTCAAAATATAAGAACATTTCTAAATCTTTATTTCATTCCAGTGATATACTGTGTATAATTTCATACATTAGCGACAAAGAAAAAAATAAATTATCTAAAATTACGTAAAAAACAAACAAGTGAATCGAGTGACTCAGGATGTAGTTGTTGTCGTCGCGCTTCTAGAATACGACCAGTTTCACTAAACGCGCGCTCACTTGCAGCTGATGAAGCCGGAATGGAAAGAAGTGAAAGTGCTAAGCGTGATAGTTGTGGAAAAATAGCCGAGTGTTTCTTCCACGATACAAGTATACCTTCACCTTCAGGATAATTGATCTTCAATTTCATATATTCCACCACTTCATCATCTGCAGAATTCGACACAAACTCTTTCAAAACGCCATGAACTGATATGTCATCGCGTTTAGCACGTTTATTTCGTTTTTTTTCTAACACTATCAGAAAATAATGTTAAACCATTTGATACGTCAACAATCCATATTGTTTTCATATTATTTTCCTAACGGATTGGATGACACCATTTCGCTCTAATTGTGATAATGTCTAAAAAATATTAATTAACAGAGAATTATATTCAACTTCTAATTATTACCGAAAGGGATTTCGTTTCCAGATGAAGGAAATTTGCTATATAATGAATATCAGTCAACCAAATTTTATTATCTAATTTGTCCAATATTTTTTGTTTCAATTGACGAATATGTAATCGATCGGTATCTTTTAGTTCACAAGTTTTTTTTAATTTGTGGAGCCAAGACAGAACTGAATATAGAGTAGGAACATGATCAGCAGATAATTTTTCACTTCCAATTTTGAAAATACCAAGTAAATCTATAATATCTTTGACCAAATACCGGTCAATCTTTTCCAAATGAGCAATTTCATTTCGAGTATCTAATATTTGCTTAACTTCATCAAAACTCAGCCAAATTGGCCATAAAGTATGATAGGTAGAATTCCATCTGGTGCAAATATCTTTTTTTAATGTTAATGGTAATTTATTTTGCAGTTCACATCTTTTAAAATGTGATGAAAGGGCAATAAATTTTTTCGCCTCAGAAAAAACGAATATCTGCGGTAATAAACACTGAAAACATTTTTATTGCTCCCCCTGAAATTTTTTTGCCGACCCGCCGATGATATAATGTGAAATAAATCTGGATCTGTGCCGAATGATTTTAGTATGCTCCAAATCATCTTCTTCGTATTTGCTAAAACCGTGAGCAAAAAATAAAACATGCTTGAAAGTAGTGGTTAAATAACTGTCAGAAGTAAACTTGTTTTTCCAGTAATCAGTAGAAATTCCGAATAATTTTACGACGTTTAAGTCACTTAATAATGTTTCAATCAGTTCTCCACGACGTTCTAAATATCAGAAAGATATTTTATGAAAACGATATGATTTATTCTAGCTTCGCATGCCTTCAGCTAAACTTTTCACATGTCGTTATACAGTCGTTGGGTCACATATAAGATCTTTTGCTTTGATTTGAGAAGAACTTTTATAAGCAATATCTAATAGACTTTGACAAAGTAATTCAAAACCATATTACCATTAACTATTTCATATGAACGTAAATCATAGGAACAAAATGTAGCATATGCATCAACAAATAAACGTTTTGTTTCAAATGGTACATGCTTTTGTTTGTTCATCATTGTAATAATATCTGGACTTTTACTACCACTAGGATTGGTACCACTAAAACATGATTCAGCGTGTGCGCTTTATGAGTGCCAGAACCCGTCTTATTTACATCGTAAGATAGAATTGATAAATATTTGATACATTGCACACATGGTAGAATGTGATCGTGATCGTCTTGAATTCGAAGGAAGTTATTCCACCAAGTCGCTGTTGCTGCATTTGGTTTCGGACGTGTTTTTAAAATTCCTTTGTCTAATTTAGTTCGAATATTTTCTTTGTCTTTTTTCCAACTGCTCATATTCCAAAGTTTTTTAAACGAAACAATCAGATTTTATCTGAAACAACAAAAATAAGTTCAACTCTTTACTTTATGAAATGTTTCAACGAATAAGAAATCGATAAATCATTGCCAGATCTATTTTGACTTCTTCTTTTGTTTTCTGCACAGTGATAGTGCTAAATTATAGACTTACAAATTTATTGATGCCACTAGTTCCCGGTTCGGTTCGATTCCGGGTACCCGGCCGGTTTGCAGGACTCTACTCGTGAAGTATCTTTAGCTTTCATTTGACCGGTCGAGAACAAATAAAATTTTTTCGCAAATATGAATTTTGATAAAGATTATAAACTTTGTGATATGATGGGCAAATTAGAAATCTTAGATTAGCAGAGAATACATCCTATTCCGCAATGTTGCACATTTGGGAATCAGTTCCCACGATTCTGGAATTAACCCGAAGCAATTCCGGAATCGATACACACAATTCAGCGGAATTCCTACCAATTCCGGAATCGTAGGAATCGATTCCGTGTGCGGAACTGGTTCCCAAATGCTCAACATTGCGGAATAAGATGACTGCTCGAAAAGTTTGGCCGTAATGTGGTTAGGAGTCAATTTAAAGCAAACATATGCTCGTATAAGAAAGCTTAAACCCTAAAGGCCTTCTTGCTATATTATGTAAATAAACTTGGATGATGAAATGTAAACTGATCGGCCAACAATCATAGTGGATAAAAACGAATAGTAAGCTGAATGACTGAGGCAGGCTTTGGAGTGGTTAGTCGAGAGTGGCGCTCCGTGAGAGCGCTGATGAACGACTAGCTGCTCTCGTTGGAATAGTAACTTTTATCAATTAAGAGTAGTCAATGAGTAAAGAACAACGGGTGCAGTAGTGAGAACTCATCAAATTTATCTATACAAGACTGGAAAAGATATTGTTGGGTGCATTTTTTTGTATTGGTTATCTGAAAAGTATTCTATAAAAAAAATTTCTATGTTCAACTAATTGTTCAAGTGCGAGTTATATAATTCATTCTCGACGAGTATTATTTATACAGCTAATTATGAAAACTGTCAAATAGTTTCTGTGGCCATATAAAATCCTGTATTATTTGAGTTTGTTCTGACGTCAATAAAAAGGTGATAAG